GAAGCAGCCAGAGAGTATATTCAGCATGTGGAATTTAGTAAACATTTTTTATCACAATCCACACTCTAAGAAAAACCTAGTGCCCTTTGACTGAGTTAGAATCATTTTACCACTTAACAGGAAGGAGTCTAGTGCCACCCATTTTAAGGGCGAAAAAGTTAAAATAATTGATCACTTCAAAGCTAAAATCAGACTATTGTTACCTTTTTTTTTTTTTGTAAATGTTAAAAAAAAAACACTATAGCCTAAGAAGCTGTCAAATATTGCATTAAGATTATAATAGCCACTGGAAAAACTTAATGTAACTTCAACCTTATTATCACTATGAGGGTAAAAACCATGCTAAAGCCAGGGCCCTTCCAGGAGCTAAATGCTCTTGGAAAGTGTCCAAAACAATGTTATAGTAAATTTCCAACTTGTTTCATCTAAGGTCAAGGAAAACAAATTATCTAAAGCACTGGATTATATTTGAATACACTGCAACTAAAAGTTTTACATCAAATAATCCCATGGAAAAATCTTTACTCTGTACCTATCATGGGCCCTAAATTCAGTAAGGGCAATGTGGGGGAATAGCTGCACCTAGGAATCCATGCTACGTGTTACTTAGTGGTATTTTGAGAAAACTTTCAATATCGATAGCTTCCATTTTGAGAGAACTATATTTTAACAAAATCTGTGAAAATAATGGCTTGGAATGACACTGAAAATCTCCTTAGCTTCTATAATGTGGACAACATGTGCTGGTTACTCTTTGGTTTCTAGCGTCACTCAAAGTTCAAGGTCTCCTGCTATTTGTGGCTCAGATTCTTTCTTATGGGAGGCATGTCTGATAGATATATACCAATTTCATAAATAAACAAACATAAAGGTATTTTATGTGTGAGTGCATGTGTGGGTGTACATATATAACACTCTAGACAAGCCATGCTTTTCACTCACAACAGTATTTTAATAAATTACAGTTCTACTAAAGTGAGAAGTAAAAGCCAACCGTTAACAGAAAAATCTAGCCAAAGAATAGCAAAGTGAGCTACAAAATTAATTCCAGAAGCCAAAGAACTAAATAATGCAGGTTCACAAAACAAACAAAACCAACACATTTTCAATGAGCACTATTCGGTTTATCTATAAATGTTCATGTATTTAAAAAGTTGAGTAGTACGTCAACTTTCACTTATGACAACATTCTACATAAATACCTAATTCCCAAGAGAAATAATTCAGGTTTAAAGAGCTGTATACAAAAATAAGAGAAGAGCTACAATGAAAAGAACAGAAGCAAATTACATGGTAGCTGCCTGAAACACTAAATGTGGGATGTACTGAATACAGTGTACAGGAGACTCAAAATGCACATATTAAGCCTAAATATTCCCAATGTATTCAATATCTATGAAACAAACAATAGAATTTCAATCAACACTTGCCACAAAAATTGCCATAAGCTGGTTGCTTCTATTTTTTAAATGATGTAACAATGACAGATTTGTTGCCACATATTTTGTAACTTACCAACACTGAGCTATTAAGTTTCTATTAGCAATGTTTTAACTGAGGATTTGGGCTAGAAGACTGAAATCTGTTCATACAGCAGTGAAAACGAAGCCGCACTAAAGGCATTCAACTTCCAGCTAAAGGCTCCTTTCCTTGATGCATATTTGTGATCATAAATAGTGTTCACTAAATGCAGTACACTAAACTAGCAACAGATTAGTTAAAAGTAGCTTAGATTTTCAACTTCCCATAATACAAGCAACATCTTTAGAAGCAATCACATTAAAATAAATGTGTCTTTCACAGTTACGCGATGAAATTTTAAGCTGGACAAGCACCAATGCCCTGGTTTTCTACTTTATTCGTAAACCATATGACTCCCACATGCTGAGAACGTTTTATGCTTTAACCTGCAGTAAAGGCTTTACATCATTTTAATGCCCAGTACTTAAAATGAAACGGAATCACCCCCAATGAATGCTAGGAATATATTTGGTTTACACGTGATGATTTTGATCCCACTAGTAGTCAGAAAAAGTTTAATGAACGCTTTTCCCAGTAAATAACTTTGTACTTCCATGGACAAAACAAAAAGAAATTTTGAGGTAAGGGTGGATGGAAGAGAAAATACTCATGCTTTTCCAATTCAAAATATTAACAAACATGTAGGTTTTTTACTTCTAAAATAACTATTAAACATTTTTTAAAACCTCCATGACTATAATAATATGCTTCAGAAAAATAAAACAAAACACTCCGTTAAGTAGTTATGTAGGATTTTTCTCCAGCTTTTGCAAAGTAGTGTTTCAAGTTAAGACACAAGCTTAAAACAAATGATTCTGAAAATCCTGGTCTATCACAAACTAATGGCTTAGTTTGGAATCAACATATTGTATATTCTACATCTGAAGATTTAGAAACCACAGTTTTTTTCTATTCAGGTCAATTGAAGTATACATGCTACCTCATTCTTTCAGTCCCCCTTATCTGTGTGAATGACCAACAGCAAAAATTTCAAATAAATGGTTAGAGGACATACCATAAAATTATACACTATCAATGTGGTTTTCAGTTATCATAGAATCTAAAGGTCCCTTACTGATGATAGGTGGCAGATTCAATAATTGATAAGTTTGGGGAATATATTCAACTCTCAACAGTTGAAATAGAAATTATGCCAATTTCTTTATTTTAAAAATCCGTTACACTAAAAAAATTGTCACATAAGAATTACTGAAGAACTTAACAAGGAAGTACAAAATATGTGATCTTAAATTCTTCTAGTGTGTTATTAAATATTAAAAACTGTGAGAAATATATTGCAATCCTTTTCTTTTTAACTCTAATTGAAATTTGAAAAAAATTTAGAATTCAAATTTCCCAACTTTGACTTAGAAACATAATTCAACTAGATCAAGCAACTTAATTGTACAATTTTAAAATAAGTTTAATGCAAAGCACTGCAATCCTGATGTGATAATTACCTGCAGCATAAATGCAAAATAATAAATGCATTTAATGATGCATTTTATGGTAAAACCACAAAAAGCACAACCATATTAGCACAAACTAAACAAAAAGACACAGGCGGTATTACGTCCATCAGAATGAGAAATGTCGTACTAAGCCAAGAAAGAAAGGAAGGACTTAAGGAAGGAAGGAGGGAGGATAGGAAGGAAGGAAGAGGGAAGGAAGGAAGAGGGAAGCCAGAGGTTTCTATACCTGCAGGATCCCAGAGAAATGAGCTAGTCACATCACTCTACCCTATATGATACATGGGTGATTTTTTTTAAGCTTCAGTGTAAATAAAAGCAGTAATCACTTTATACCATTCAACTTTACACAGTGTTATCTTTAATGCCAACTGCATTCTTCCCTTTACTCACCCAATGCTTCTTCACTGTTCCATTCCACCAGCTTTCAGGCAAATGCAAGACAGAACAGGGTGGAGTAGAAGAAAAATACAAGCAGCGCCTTTCCGCGCACCCCCTCTCCCGCAAATAATTTCCAACAGTTCTTCCTACTACGAAAATAAGTCGCCCTATCTCAAGATACACAGCAGACATTCCGTCTCTTTAGTAGACATACACAGACGCGTACACAATCCAGCACTCCCGACCCCCACCCCAGGCCCCCCCGAATCTTCAGCAATTATTCATCTAATCACACGAAGACAAGATACCTCTACCTACTGTTTCGGGGTGAAGGTGGGTGGAGGACGCCTTTCAAAGTAGCCCCAATAGTGTAACCAAAACACGGTTCCGGAATAAAATATTAAGAAACACTTTTCCTTTCCCACCTATCTACCGACTTGAGGATGCAAAAAACCCATCTCCACATCACACCATCTCTACAGTTCTCGTGGCTGGAGTTTGGGGTGGAGATTCGTCCAGGGGAGGGGGCGGAGGCGAGTGGCGGAGTGTGAGCGGGCGACGGGACACGAGCGAGTTGCTAAGCCCGGCTGCCCCGCACCACGTCGCCAGCCCAAATGCCCAGCACCAGGACCTCACGCCCGCCCCTCAGCCCAGGCCCAGAGCGAGCGAGGACTCGCGCTGTCTAACTTCTCATCTACAGACACCGCTCCAAAACAAGCAGAGCACACAAGTACACGTCACACAGTTTAAACACACTTCCACACCCCAAACAAACCAACACACCTGCAAATCACCTCACAGTTTCTCGAACTCCACACCAGAGACCCCACCTCCAGGATTCAAACCTTCCGCTCATAGTAGAGGAAACCAGAAGAGTTGGGGGGCAGTCGACGCCTTTCCAGGACCGGCCCCCACGAACTGCCCCACCCCACAGCCCGCGTCTGGATCACCCACTCGGAAGCCCCCTGCCTCCTCCCTCCTCTCAATCCGGCCGCTAACGAGACCCATCCCCAGCGTCCGCTCACTTCCTCCCCAAAACCCCTCCAAAAAAAATTGTTTTAAATGAAGAGAAAGAAGTGAGGAAAGAGACTTGAGGTTGTCCGGCTTCAAAACCGCTCGACTCACCTCAGAATCCTCGCTGAGTTCTCTCCGCCCGGCAGAGCCCCCTCCCCAACGTCCCAGTACGAAGGGCTGAGGTAGGGAGTAGGGAAAGCGGGAGGGGGAGGGGTGTCTTCCGCGTGGGGCGCCCGTCGGGAGGGGCCTGGGGAGGGGTTGAGGCCGGCGCAGGAAGAGGAGAAGGGGGAGGGGAGGCCCCTATCTCCCAGTCTCCCCCTGAAAAACCTCCCTTGTCTCAATCACATCAGACTGACTGTCTTTGTCTGGCTGACAACCGCCATATTGATATCAACAGCCCCGCTCCCACCTGCTGCCGCCCGGCGTCCCTGGGAGTTGTAGTTCCTGCCTCCCCCGAGTAAAAGCGCGGAGCCCGGCGCCTAGAGGCCCAAGAGAACTACAACTCCCGGCAAGCCCCGTGCCCATCCGCCTTCCCTTTGGGAGGAGGGGAAAGGGGACCCGGAGCCGTCGGGACTACACATCCCAGAACACCATGGGCTCCAGGCGCGTAATGGGGACATGATATCATGCTGGGGTGGAGAGGGCGGCGGGGATGAATTTGAGCTGACGGAAGGAGGCGTCCGCAGAGGAAACGGAGGAAAAGGAAAGGCGACCACAGTTCCCATGGTGCCTGGAGGGGAGACTACATTTCCTATGATTCCCCTGGAAGGGACGTAAGAATGAAAGACTGCAAGTCCCGCGATGCTCTGGGCTGGCAGGTGGCGGAGATTGCACCGGAAGACGCTTCCTGCGTTTGAGGAGTTCAGTGACTGCTATTGAACCACCAAAAGTCCATTATGAAACTGGTGAGTCTTCGCTTCTAGGTCAGAGGGCAAAGTTGATGCTATATCCTTTTGGACCTCTTTTTTTCCTACTTTGGGCAGGGAATCGTCACACAGGAGGGGTAGCATTTAAGTAGCTGGAAAGTGGAGTGGGCTAAAGAAAGCTGCTTTTTGTTGTTAAGAAGGCTTGAATTCCCTCTCCCGCCCCCCTATCCCTCCCAGGAGGTCTTCTTTCACTCGTTGGTGGGTCTTTTTGTTCAGACAAGACGTTGACTCTGTCACAGTCCTTCCCCTATGAACTCTGTGGGCTCTGTTAACCAGGTTTGGACGTCCTGGCTCCCACGTTAGGGTTATAATAGGCTGTTAACAACCCCTTTCCATTCGACTGGCGCTTGAGTAGCCTGTCTCCCTACTGTTGTTGAGACTTTGGCTAGATTTAAGCAGACAGTAAAAAAAACATTCGGCAGAACGTAATCACTTATTAAATATCCTGTTGTATAGACTCCTCACTGCCCTTGGTATTCAGGACGAGGTCAGAGTGTGGAGAAGTTGAGTCTTAAACCCTGGGGATTTAGATGGGGAGAGAAGTGTTATATGGTATTCCATTCTAAGACTGTAGGGACTGCATGAGCCAAGTCTGGATGAAGTGTGCCGGTATACCTGAAGTCTTAACATCACACAACTCAAGCACCTGGCTCATAGAGACTTCTCAAACCTTTGATTTGAGCCATTTGACTCATTGTGCATACAGGTCTGACTAGTTTATTCCAACTCGATTCAATTAGTAATAACATAGTGTAGAAAGGCAGGCGTGAAACTCTCTTTATCAACCTTTTAAAATCCATATTCGTGCAGCCAAGTTACTGTCAAGCTTTACTTGAGGCAGGAGAATCGCTTGAACCCGGGAGGCGGAGGTTGCAGTAAGCCGACATCGCGCCACTGCACACCAGCCTGGCGACAGAGCGAAACTCTGTCTCAAAAAAAAAAAAGTTTATTTTACCATTTATATAATTATCTGAATATGCTTTTCCAAACCACACAACCCACCTACCCTCATCTTGATAATCATTGTGTTACAGGCATATACTCTGCAAAGCCAGCTGTTTTCTGCGTAGTCAAAGTGTTAAAAGTGGATTCAATTCTGAAATTGTCTCCATGTAAAGATGTTTATGTAAGAGGAAGGATGCGGGTCACTAAACCTTGAGAATAGCAATTTACTCCTGGGTCAGTGTGCTATACATTTAAGAATGCAGAATTAAAAGTCATAGCAGTTGCCCTACAGAAGCGTGCAACCTAAGAAGAAGATGAAAAGTAAACCAAAGTTATTATTTATTTATTTAAAGACAGGCTCTGGCTCTGTGGGGCCCAGACTGGAGTGCAGTGGCGCGATCTCAGCTCACTGCAACCTCCACCTTTTGGGCTTAAGCGATCCTCTCGTCTCGGTCTCCACATGTAGCTGGCAATACAGGCACGCACCACCACACCCTGCTGATTTTTTTGTAGAGATGGGATTTCAACATGTTGCCCAGGCTGTCTCAAACTCCTAGGTTCAAGGAATCTGCCCACCTCGGCCTCCCAAAGTGCTGGGATTACAGGCATGAGCCACCGTGCCTGGTCCGAAATTATAATTCACTGTGTTCAAGGTAAAATAGAGGCGTGTTCAGGGTTTTGGGAATTGAGAGAAGATTGGGGAGGTCAGGGACAGCTTCCTGGAAAGGTGACTGACTCTTGAGCTGATAAGAAGGATAAGTAAGCCAGGACCTTCCATGAAAGAAGTCAGCTTATAGGAGCAGAAGACCTTGGTAACTTATTGGCTAAAGCACAGACCCTGTGTTCTCAATAAAGAACAAATTATACTTGGTGTGTTCCGTTTAAGAAGGCAGGGAAGTGTGAAATAGTTTTCCCATAACAACTCATTAGTGAGGGTATCAAAAAGCCAGAGTTGGCCGGGCGCGGTGGCTCAAGCCTGTAATCCCAGCACTTTGGGAGGCCGAGACGGGCGGATCACGAGGTCAGGAGATCGAGACCATCCTGGCTAACACGGTGAAACCCCATCTCTACTAAAAAGATACAAAAAATTAGCCGGGCGAGGTGGTGGGCACCTGTAGTCCCAGCTACTCGGGAGGCTGAGGCAGGAGAATGGCGTGAACCCGGGAGGCGGAGCTTGCAGTGAGCTGAGATCCGGCCACTGCAGTCCAGCCTGGGCGACAGAGCCAGACTCCGTCTCAAAAAAAAAAAAAAGCCAGAGTTTACTTTACATATACTTTAGTTTGCTCATAAAATCCTTCTGCTTAATTTATTTAGAAATAGGAAACCAGGGAATAGGAAAAAGTAAAAAAGTGGAAAATTATTTTTTCCATTAAGAACCAAAGATGCCTCAGAGGAAAAGGAAGTCTTCTACTGATACTCATACTCTCTCTTTACTTTGCAACTATGTATTACATACTAAAACTTATTTGGTAGTTGATAGATACATATAATTGAGAATTTCCATCAACATACCAAAAGCATTGTTGCTCAGTAAGTTAGATTGATGCGTCATGCCTCCCAAATGGTGGTAATAAGTCCTCCCATGGCCTAAAAGTTTTAATTTTGTGTACTGCTTCAGGAATATGTGATAGGCTGTGTTTTAAGTTTATAATTATGAAACAAAAATACATAATTTTGTTTAACATTTTCTCATTTTTGAGATTGACTTTCCAGAGTACCCTTCCCACATACAATCTATGACCACCTCTTATTGATTCTACTTCCTAAATGAAACTTTCTTAAATAGATTCTGTTCCTCTCCAGTCCAACTAGAATACTGTCTTTGTAGTGGGCTCTTTTTGCTTGGAATTCAACAAGACCCCTTATCTGGTCTCCCTGTATTCAGTCTTAACCCTGTCAAATTCATTCTTTCCTCTGCATCCAGAAGTTGTTTTAATTGCAGAGTTCCATGAAACCCTCTCAGTATCTTCCTTTGCCCTTAGGATAACTTCCTACACTTAACTTGGTTGAATGCGTTCCATTGCCGGCCTCACTCTTTTTTGCCTGGCTAATTTCTTCATATATTTCAGATCTCTGTCTAAATAACACTTCGTCAGGGCCTCCTTGAATTAAATACCCCTGTCATATGTTTGATGGCATACTTCCTATATGTAGCACTAGTAATTATTGGACTGTGTCTGTCCTCCCCCATGTAGACTCTGTGTAAATAATTAGTAAATAATTTCTGAAGGTTTATCAAGGTTTATCATATTATCTATGAATACCCTTGAGAAAAGATTAAAGAATGAAATTAAAGAGATTACAATAAGCAGTAACAATTGAAGTAAAAAATGAATAATTGCTACCTTTTATAAAGCAATTATTGTATGCCAGGCAATGTGCTAAGTATTTGCTATATAGTCTCCCATTTAATCCTTTGATTCAGATGACAGTATTCCCATTTTACAGACAGAACAATGTGAGCTTCAGGGAGGTGAAGTAAGTGGCTTAAAGTTAGCACGGATTACAAATGATAGAGTCAAGATCTAAACCCAGGTTTCCCTGTTATTTAGTGAGGGTAGGAACTCTAGCACCCTGCATCATGCCTAGGTTATCTCTTAGAAAAAGGAAGGTAGAGTGCATACCCAAAATGTATTCAAGGCTATTTTTAAAAATTAGCTTTAAATGCAAGTGTGGTTCAATTAAGATCTTCAGGCCAGGTGCAATGGTTCATGACTGTAATCCTAGCACTTTGGGAAGCGGAGGCAGGCAGATGGCTTAAGATCAGGACGTTCTAGACCAGCCTGAGCAACATGGCAAAACCTATCTTTACAAAAGATACAAGAATTAGCTGAGCGTGGTGACATGTGCCTGTAGTCCCAGCTACCTGGGGGGCTGAGGCAGGAGGATCACTTGCGCCTAGGAGTTCGAGGCTGTAGTGAGCCGTGATGGCACCACTGCATTCCTGCCTGGGTGACAAAATGAGACCCTATCTCAAAAACAAAAAACAAAAACAAAAAAATATTTTTAAGGTTATTGGTTAAAAAAAATTTTTTTTTTAAGTTTGGAAACTTTCTTGATGAGCTAAAGGCCCCCATATCAGAGCATACCAATTTGATTTTGAAGTTAGTCTTTTTTATATTCCAAATTTAGTTCCTGCGATACCATTTATAATTCTTCAACTTTGCACATCACCCTCTTGGTGACTTTTCACACACCCACATGAAAACAATGGATGCCATTTTAATGTAATACTTGGGTATCTCCTTCTTAGATACCAACTCAGAGGATTTCAGTGGCCTTCCATATTTATAATATGCAATATTCAGGCAGCTTTATTTAACTGAAGAAAACTCGTTGGCATTTTCAGTTAACCAGAATCATTTTAGAAAGCAGAGGAAAATTAGAAATGTATCTTTTAAATTAGCGCATTTTAGAGCATGTTCTGTTATTCATATAGATTGAGCCTAATTGGGTACCCTGATGGCCAGTTCAGCTAGGGATAGAAACCTGAATTCACAAAGGCCCTTACCGAAAGACCATGGAACAAAAAATTCTGAGCACATCGACAGAAATTAAGTTTGAAACATCATGTCCAGCAACCCAGTCATTTAAATAGATGAAGATTCAAGCGAATAAAATAGTCCGAAGCAGTTCAAGAATGCAGCCTGTGTGTTGTACTTCCTACAGATACTACCTGAGATGGAGAGACTCTTCTGGCTTATTCAGTCAACAAAGATTTATTATGCAACCACAGTATACCCTTGGCATTCACAGTTTTAACGCTTTCCATTTTAACCATTACATTTGACCCCTGTGACATGGAATTATTTATAACTTTGCTGAGACACAAATTTGAATGTGACTTTAAGATTAATGATAATCCTTTGGGAGGGGCCTGAGTGCCTCAGAATCCATGGAGCTCTGCAGAAGCCGGCTTGTTAAAAGTCTTAAAAGAAGGTCATTTAAATGCTTGTTATACTAACTAAATTTGATGGAGAAAATTATATTCTGTAGTTGTGTTTACAAATTTTAAAACTTGAGAAAGCCACGAA